AGATTGGTGTATGGGTTGATTTGCTGATTCACCGCCATCTGCTTGATTGGAGGAAAACCTGACACAGACGGAAGGCTGTTAGAAGGAGCTGCCGATGACTTTGAGTCCCTTTCCCGGTCTCTGTCCCGGTCCCGATCTCTGTCTCGATCCCTGTCCCTAGGACGGTCCTCGCGCTCTCTGTCACGGTCTCGGTCTCTCCTGTCAGCATAGAGACAGTGCAGGTTGAGGATATTTACAATGCAAAAGTAACCATCAATCTTTATCTATACAAATACTGTGTTTAAACAAAGCATGAAATTATATCTGACACACAATTTCTTGATTTGAATTTTTTTTTTTCAATTTTTTGGACTGACGAATATCGGTTGGAAATTTGTATCGCATTGCCTCACCTTAATCTGCATTCTTTTCCACCAATGCCCTGTTTCGCTTCCAATAATTAAATTAGTCTAGGGCTGGGCAATTAATTGCATTTGCAATATAATTGCAATTTATAAACATGCTATTTTTAAATCGCAGAGGCACTCAATTTTAGTCACATTACATTTAAAAAGACAAACACACAACATTTCTAACTAAAGCCCTTTGGGTGGCAGTAAATAAGGTGGCCACACAGACGGGTAGAGAGAATTGCAGCTTGCATGCAGATCCATGCATTATAGCAGAAGCAAGATCTTTGTCAGTGAAAAGCAACAATAAAGTCCTGCATTAATGGACTCTGGAAAAGAAAGCTTTTAACTGGAACTCTGGATGGAAACATGCTTTTGTGCTTAGTTCAAAGGAAAATCACAATAAAATATCAATCACGACATTGGTTAAAAATAATCACAATTTGGATTTTTGGCAAAAATCATTCAGCCCTGTGTTAGTCCATCATGTTTGTGTTACCAGATGTTTACTCATATGGGGTTCATAGACCTTTTTTCATGGTCATATTAAAGGACTTTTAAGATCAATTTTCAAGCTTTCCAGTGCCTTAACTAGTGGTTTTCTGCTTGATTGGCCACCAATCATAATCAGCCGATGTTAATTAAAAAGTATGTGATTGATGATTAGCAATCACCATCTTTTGCAGTCTATTACTAAAACTGATCACACAGGCTTTTACTGCAGCATATGCAGCAAAATCCGACAGCAAAGAACTGTCATGTGGAGCTGTTGTGCTTTGGGAACAAGTTTGCATCTAGTAATGAAAAAGTGAATGGTGAAGCATGTAAAAATGCTTCAAAACAGTTAATACAGCATGACATTTAAAACAAGCAGTTTACAGAGAGTGATGAGCAATTGAGGCTTAATAAAAAAAAAAAAAAAAAGACTGCAGGTAAAGTGATGCACAATTGCCTACCCTCTCCTCTATGAGCATGATGATTAGAGGAAATAACCTTCAAATTGATGTAATTAATCATGTAAAGGACCAGCTGTGAAAGACTGAGTTCCTCTGACTGCTGTCACTATAGGATGGCGCTACTGGGATGTAAATATTTCAAAGACAGCCATTCATTTCCACCAGACAGTGGAGTCTCATAGTAAATGTCTCCTTAATGCTGCAGCACAGAGAATTTGCACATCCACATAACAATCAGCCATGGTAACTTATAATTGTTTGTTTTCAACATTCATTTGACTTTGGATAATTATTTTTTTCTAACAGTTAAATCTATTAAATTAAACCTGCCAGGTTTTTCATATGCCCTTTTGACTAATTACTTCCTGCATGTGCACTTTTTTTTGTATGTTTTGTCTAATTTAGGTGTTTTTTTTTATCCATTTGCCAGATCACATGGCCAGTTGCAACATTTATACCTAAATCACACAAAAAAATAATACAGAGTCCAACTCAGTGTTGCGGCAATATTGTGATGGGAGCATCGCTAACCTTAACCAGTCTTACATTACATGTGATACAAAGTCATGCACACACAATGTGGCTATTACTATTTTTTTAATAAATGGTTGCTCTATGCTCCTTCAGAAGGAGTGAATTCTGCTTGTCAAGGCTTGTTGCAATCTGCTTTTTGCTTTTGACCAATTTGTCTAAGTATTTGATTGCATCGACGTAAAGTGTCTTGAGATGACATGTCGTGAATTCGTGCCATTTAAATAAAAGTAAATTGATGCTAGGATATTTCCACGCTTACATGATTTTGCTCAACAGACATCCATTTTGAGCTCAACAACTGGTCAAATTGGCTACTATAAATGTATGTAAAGAAGTCTAAATTCTAAACATGCCATTATAATAAATTTAAAATATTAATTTTGATTTCTAACTTTATACATAGTTATATTTTAGAAATATACCTTTTTTTTTTAAATATAATTCTTGAATTAAAATCTTATTGAATCTGACAGATCAGAATAATTTTAGCTTGGACTTTATGTGGTGTTAATTTGATCACGTTTGAAATTTATTTTATATGATCCACTCAGCAACCAAAACATAGACAAACAAGGAAAAAGCTGTGATGGACTCAGAAAGGTGGATTTTTAGTTTCAGCAAATGCAGTCACATGACAATCTTATAATATTTTTGTCAGACATCTGGAAAGGACCACAGAGAACATGTTATATTGAAGGATTCTTCCTGTTTACTTAGAAATGTTATTTCTAGGCACGCACTTCAAATGATTTATATGTAATATTATATATATATATATATATATATATATATATATATATACACATACACATATATAAAAAACTGCTTCCTAATTACCATTTATGCCAAAATAGCTAGAAAATTATTCTATTAAAATTTTGTTTTAAGATATGGACATAGAATCAGATTATATTTCAAGAGCAAAGTCAAAACAACAATGTTTAACAAAGAATAAAAAAAACAGTGAGCTATTGAGTAAAAGTACAACAATAAAACACGAACAAATCAAATCTATAAATTAATAAACAAGAAATGTTGCCCAACACAAGATTCGATGCTCTAATCAAGTAGAACTAAATGTTATAGAAATCGTGAGAGCATAGAGAACTGTGTACTTATGGAATGATAGGTTTCAACAATTTAAGAATCAGTGCAACAAAATTCATTAAGCGCATGGACAGTACTAAATGTCAAAACCATACAACATAACTTGCCCCAATTTAAAAAATGAAAGAAAATCTAACACGTTCTAAGTTAAATGTAATACGAAAGATGATCAGCACCGGTTCAGGAAATTTAAGTTGCATTAAATCATCGTTGATAACCGGTGTGCAGCTCAGTGCTGGTTAAATAAATAATATGTCTGTGGTTTAGCAAAACCGTATGGTTGCATATATCGGTGTAAAACAATTTATTAGCTTTCATTCGTTGTATTTCAATAAACTATAGCCACTGAAGCTGCGGCAGATACCATCTTACAAGCGCAACTTTAAAGATGTTCTGAATGGGCTGTGTTAGCATGTGGCTAACGCCGTTAGCCCCGCACGTGCAGAGATCGTTGATAAATCGCTTTAAAGGTAAACTAACCTTCGATGACCTTTGTATAACAGCAGAACAATAACAGCTGCTAGCCAACCTTAGAGAGTCGAAGATGTGCCGATAATGTTAACTGTTAAATAAAAGCTGTACTGGACACATCAGAGGTTATTTTGTTTCGGCTTCTTGGCTGGCAGCTAGCTTTCTAAACTAGCACCGGCTAACATATAGCGTGTAGCTTCATTGTTGTAGAGCAACAAACAATCTTCGCAGCTTCACCTACCCGTCAGAGCGCTTCTTATTGGAGGAGTAATCATCACCTAAATCCAGACGATGTCTTTTCGACATTTTGTTTGATGAAAACGTAGTTTATCTATGCCGCCAACAAAATCTGGCTGCGCAAAATGCAGCTAACAGTTTCCTGATTCCTACGCTGTCTTTTCACATTTGTTCGGCAGATTGTAACATCGCCCCCTGCTGGTGTGGCTCCTCTTCCTTGACTCATGACATCTCTGAGATCACCAAACACTGGAGTATAGAAGCCTGGCCTATCATACTTTTAAAGTTAAAAAAAGTTGTGTAGGTTTTTTGTTTTTAATTAAGACAAAATACATATTAAATCATGGAAAATAAAAATAAGGTAATGTAAAGGGTGACTCATATCTTCTTTTTAAAATCTTACATGTATGTAACCAAACCAAAATCTAGGTCCTATCCCATCCTACTGAGCTAAATGTTTTTGACAGAAAATTAAGCACAGTTCCATCTTGTGATGCAATAAAGGAGACAAAATATTCAGTACCTGTTTTGTAGCGATAGATGGTTATATAAAAAATTATTTCGGAGGGTTGGAACCACTCAGATATTTTCTTTTCTAAAAAAAAAAACAAATACAAAACTCAATTTTATTTCACTTCATGATTTTGTATTACTATCAAATAGTTGAAAACAAATGATGTGAAGAGCAGTGTTGCTACCTTAGTGCTTTTGTCGCTATATTTAGCCACTTTTCAGACTTTTATTTGAAAAAAGCACCTAGTACCAAATCAAGCGACTTTTTTCTGCTACTGGAGACTTTGGCGACAACATCTAAAATCAGTGAACTCTGCTCTCCAGAGCGAGTAGATTGGTAACCCCGTCTCCTGCTTTCCTCTATCTTGTCTGCTGTCATGATTCATTCAGCTATTATTTCATCCAAATGAAAAATGGAGAACAGATAAGCAGATGGTTGTCTACAGTGAAAAGAAAGACTATCATTTACTTTTGCCTTCAGCTTTTTGGGAAAAACGAGAAGGAGCAATCAGCTAAGTGAGCTTAGTGCTTGGAAAATATCTTTCATTCCTTTTGAGACAGCATGGAAAGTCAGCTGAGTACAAAACATAGAGAGAAAACCAACAAGGGACAAGAAGAGGGGGATAAAACCTAGAATAAATAATGTAGGTCTATTCTATTAGCATTTCTCTATCTGTATAATGGGTGTGTTTTATGTGTTCTTCTCAATTCAGAGGGCCCCCTGCCCGTTGTTTTTTATCCTTCCAAGAAAACAAGCATTCAGTGATTACAGGCAAAAACTCTCAACAATGAAAACCAGCTGAAGAAAAGCCCGCTCCACCCCTCATCACGTGAACGCGCACTGACGCGCACGGACACTGTTAGGAAACAGCTTCATCGCCCTTTAGAGATCAACCAAAGAAACATCGGAGCGTGTTGCTGCTTTCATTGCCAACCATGCGTCTAAACAGGTAAGTGCGCGATGATTTTTATACATTTTTTTTATTCATTGCACAGCAAGAACGGGATCAAATGTTTTTTGTTTTTTCAATTATGGAAAGCTTACTTAAGAAGTTTATGAAAGCCTTTAAAGCGGTCAGCCAGTTGCTTTTATAGACATAAAACAAACAGAAGGACAAGATCTGAAACAAAACAACATGTGGCTATAAAAATCCAAACATTTGTTCTATTAATCTGATTTTAATATCAATGAGCTTCAAAAACACAAATCCAGGCCATACCTTCAATACAGTTTTCATGGGAAAAAAAACCCCCAAAAAACATTTTTTTTTCTTCTTCTGCATCTATGCTTTAAATTCCTAGTTGCAAGAATCTATCAATTAGAACCAGTCTTGTAAAACTGTTTCCCCCGGATCATTTGGAATAGGTTCCAATTTGGACACATAAATGCAACATTTGTTGGATTGATCTGATGTTTTAAAGCAGCTGGCTTCCCATGATCACCACTGTGCATACTTTAGTTTTTGTTCTGTCCTTTTTTTATTCCATCCAAACAGAGATTTTTTTATATCTTGCCATTTTAAAGATATAATGGTTACTAATTTTTTTTTGTTGAATTGGTCAGCGGTCTCAAACTCCAGCTCCAGAGGGTTGATTTCATCCCTACGTTATCACAACTCAAATGATTAGATCATTAGTAGGACAGATGGGAGTGAACTTTGATTATGAAAGCCCTGCTTTAGCCAACCCATGTTATATATTATTTAACAGAGTTAAAAAAAAAAAAAAGATCTGTTATTGTTTTTTAAGTTTAACATCTGCTAGTATACATTTATCTATGCCATGTTTTACATTTAACAGCTGATTGGATGGTGTAATATCTCTTTACCATCAGTGGTGAAGATCTCATCATAAAACTCCCAAGTTGTTTTTTTTTCTTCTAAAGACTACAGGATAATTAACTTAAAATATGTAATTGTTGATTTTGGTGCTTATTATGAAATTAATGGCTCACATAATCCATTCTTTTGCATTGTTTGACTAATTCCATTGTGCTCCAGGTCATTGGGTGGACTGCAGGCTGCTCTGCTGCTGTTTTTGGCCTGCTGTCAATGCGTCTCAGCACACACCGATACTCTGCTTCCTCCAGAGGTCTCTCAGTACAATGGAACCCTGTATGCAGCCTGCAAAGTGAGACCCAGCACTTTACTTCCCGAGGGGCTTCCCAAGGTATACGGCCAGGTGCTGTTCAAACAGGAGCATTCAGAACAAAGGCTTCATGTCCTTCTCCGCCTTAGTGGCTTCCCTGAAGAGGCTTCTTCAGAACCAAGAGCCGTGCACATCCATCAGTATGGAGACCTCAGCAGGGGATGTGACTCAACCGGTGGCCACTACAACCCATATGGTGTCAACCACCCTCAACACCCAGGAGACTTTGGGAACTTCTCCCCTCAGGAGGGGAAAATCAGTGCACTGATTGAATCAGATGCTACGCTGTTTGGAGGCCTGTCTGTGCTTGGAAGGGCGGTGGTGATCCATGAAAAGATGGACGACTTGGGGCGTGGCGGAGACGCCGGAAGCCTGTTGCATGGCAATGCAGGCCGTCGGCTGGCATGCTGCGTCATCGGGATGTCCTCCTCCAGCCTTTGGGAGGTTCAACATCTGCGTGCTGCAAGGCAGTTCAGGAGGGGCTAGGCCCAACACATGGGAGTGTTGTTCCCCACAGAATCTATCCCAGTATTTAAATAGGTTTCCACAAAGATACAAAAAAAACAACTAGTAATTGCTTACTAACAGTTGAAATTACAGTATTTTATAGATAATAGCTTTTCTGACAATTTCACTTGAGCTAAATGAATCAAATATGAGCCTACATGACTTGTCTAAACCTGTAACGTTTTTCTTTGAACAATAAAAAGTTATCATGATAAAACTTTGTATAAAGTAGCAGTCATGTTTTCTGAAGTCACAAAAATAATTCCCAGCTATATGAACCTCTGGCTGTATTAACAAATCTCTGTTAAACTTATTTTTTTCCTCAAATAGAGCAGCTTACATGTCTGTAAGTTGTTATTTTCCTGTTCATTGCAGTTTCCACAAGAAATTGACCATTCAAACTTATGGGTGGTTATCTGTAAGTAAAATTCAGATAGAGGCATTAATAGAAATATTTTACTGCACAATAATGTGTAAATACCCATTTTTTTCTTGCAGTCTTTGTAATCATCAACTATGGCAAAAAAAAAAAAAGGGTAAGTTTTATAACAGCTGTTATATAACAGTGAAGCGATGCTTTGGATCAAAAACCAAACTGAACACTAATAATTGAGGTTTAAGAAAAAAACAATGAGGGTGTCTGAAAATATTGTATTTTATGTGATCTTGGGGGAAAATATTTTGAAAAATGACAAAGAGGATTTCTGAAGCCTGCATTAAAAGTATCCACAGAGAAAAAAAGAAAAAGATGTTTTTTTTTTTTGTGTAGAAAACTCACATTGTGAGTTTATGAGCAGGGTGCAGGATTGACGTGGGCAGCACCAGAGAAGAAAACATTAAAAGGCTGTACAATGTTTTTGATAACAGTGCTAAATAAAGGCAACCACCAAGGCATTAGAAAACAAAAAACAACAAAACTTAAATTTGCTTTAATTCCCCACAGAACAAATATACTCAGGTATTATATAGATTATTTCACTACAATAAAATATTTTAGGACATCTCTTTTCCAGGTGTGTGGAAATACCTTTGGCCATCAATGTCTCTTCGTTGATCAAGTTTAAGAGACCGCAGGTCTGAAATATGCCTCTAAATGGATCAGTGATAAAATCTTTAATGTGACTAAAAAGCAAAAGCTATAGGAGTCTGTTTGTGGTAACGTCTAAAAAAATAGAATGTCTCTGAAGTGATGCATCACAATAAAGCGTAAAGTAGGACTACATCAGACATGAGACAGATGTGCTGCATTTAATTATAGCATCAGATAAGCTCTGCTTCAAAGATTAAAGCTGCTCTGTGCTTCGTATCACCTTAGATCAGCTTTTCTTCCTGTGCGTACTATTTAACAGCCAGCAGTGGGCGCCGTTAAAGCAGCAGTTAGGAAATCAGGCATTCAGTAATCTGAATGTGAAAAAGAGACACAGCTGAGACCTCTCCAACAATCAGAGCTCAGACAAAGCTAAGAGACCTGCTGTAGATCCACAGGATCTTTTCCTAAATGCTGCGAGACAAGAGAGCCTCTTCTGGAAGACTCCGAGTATCGTCACTGCTACAAAGAAGAGCCTCCTCATCTGATTGGACGTCCCTCTGCTGCCTGTTCTCGGCAGACCTTATTTCTGCTTCTTCCACCCGTCTGTTGCTTCCTTCTGGTTTCCATCTTCTTGTGATTGGTTCAGAGCTCTCACAGTGATGACTGAGATCGGACGATGAGGGAAGTTCACTCGGACAGGCGTCACTCACAGTCTCCTGGTGTAACGAATGGGTACGATCTGTCTGAGTCTGCAATCTGTCACGTTTAGGGCAGTTTTCACTGTCTGCTGCCTCTGCTTCGGCACTCTCTGGGCCTTCCTCTGGCAGCTGCTGTGAAAGGGTTGGATTGGACGCTTCAAGAACGGTAGATGTTTGGACCTCATCTTGAGCTGGATTGGCTTTGTTTAGGGCAATTCCAGAAACTCTAAAACCTGTAGAAACAAACAGATAATAATAAAAAAAGCATTATTACTCAGTTTGCTTACAGATGGGAAAGACTAATAAACACTCAAACTGAATATTTACCTTCCTGTTGAGGAGGATCAAGCGATTCAACTTGCTGAGGTAAACGTGTGTTCAGGATTATAGCATCTTTTCCTCCTATTATCACAACATAATATTTAAAGTTAGTTCTTCTCAATAATAAATGAGTTATTATATTATAGAGTGGCTGTAATGTTTTTTTTCTTTTGTAATTGCAGTTTTGGTATGATGCCAAAGCATCAACAACGGTTATATGATGAAAAGAAGTGTATCAAAGCAGGTAGGACATGAAATGAGCAGAGCTAAAGTAAATGGTAGGGGTGTAACGGTACACAGTTCAGCAAGTAACTCCATTTATAAATCATTTTAAATTCAACAGGAAAAAGAAAACCTTAAATGTTGGATTTTTCTTTCACTTTGAGCATAAAAAACAACAGGCATAAAAAGTGAATTTGGTTGTGAGGCGAGGCAAAGGTCTGAGGCTACTGTATATCACACAAATCGTTATTTGGTTAAAGTTGTTTTTGCCAAATAAAAAACGAATAAGGGATAAAAATAAAGTACTAAACACTTACCAAAGTGGCTTGAAACTTTCTAAACACAAGCGACACCCTTTACTGTTTTTAATGATATTTAATAGATGGTACTATGAGTGGAAAAACACATATTGTGATTGGGGATGCAGTGAAAATTCATCTGAAAATGACCTAAAAGTGCATTTTCAGTTTTCGACTGATAGACATTTAACATCGAAGCAACACGGCCAAAGCTTTTGATGACCTGAAAAACAGCCTATCCTGCACAGGGGGAAAAAAAGAAAAAAAAAAAGATTGCAAGCACACAGCTCAGCCAGGATGCAGAGAGCAGTGGTGGAGCAGAGTTTTTCAGAGATGACGGGTTTTGAGGATGTGTGAGTTTTAATGCTGCACATCAGTCTGACTGCTCGTTCAGGTCAGTGGCACAAACATTATAATAAAGAATTCCAAATGTTCCCATCACCATTCTGAGAGGAAAGCAACATGGAAAAGGAAACTGACACCGAACATGACCACTGTCTGTCTGTCTGTGTTTTAAAAGGCAAGAAAGTTTCCAAGGGATTCAATCAAGGCAAAGGCCATAACACAAAATACCAGAGGAAAATAAATCTTTTGATTGTAATTAATAAATTGTAAATAATTTATTGAATTGCCTTAAGTTTAGTGAAGGTTAGTAAAAGTAGACAAAATTGCATTGGTTCTAATACTTGATATAATTTTTTTCTAATGTTTCAGTTTTCGGCCTCGGTTTCCTAATTTTTTTAATTTCCATTCATCCCCAATTGTGACTTTTCTGGCTTTCCATACATCCACAACACAATTTTAAACACTACTGTTCATAACCAAAAACCCAACACACTGATCATTAGAAACAGACAATCCAAAGCTGCTGTTATCATCAAATGCTAATCTTCCAAAGTCTACTGAAGCCGTAGTTTGTTTGCAATTTGTAAATCATCAACTCTACTCTTATCCCATCAAACTCTGTTAAAGCTGAAATTAAATCAGAAAAGATTTATTTTCAGATTGTTTTTACTATGCTCAACATCCTGGGGAGAAATTAGTTTATCAATTCATTTGCTTTTGATAGAAAACATAAAAACTATTTAGCTGCAGTTTGTAAAAATGAGTTTGTACAATTACTGTTGCCACAGAAACATGTACTGTTACACCCCCAGGAAAAAAACCCCCTCAAAGATAACAGTGAAAGAAACATAGAAATATATGTATATATTTACATATATATGTATATGTAAATATATATATGTATGATATTTAATGTCAGATTAAATATAAAGGTGTTTTTAAGAGAAGAACCTACTTCCAAACCCTCCAAGAGACACATTATAAGTCAGGCCTTCAGGTAGCAGAGAGAAAAAGAGCAGGAGAAGAAGAAGTTATTGTAAACAAAGTTTAGTTTGGTTAGCGCAAGCATCAGGAAGCTTTAGACTTCTACAATGAGAGAAGTTTTTTTGGCTTTATTGTTAATAAACGTGTTAATAAAAACCGACATATTCCTCTTTACTTTCAACAACTACTTAATCAATTGTTTGTTTTTTGTAGGTAAATTAAAGAAATTAAAATTCCACTCTGAAATCTAACTTGCAGAATACAATAAAACCATTTTCATGAATGAAAGGTTCCCTATTTGGGGGAAATGAAGGAAGAATTTGTAGATTGTAGCATCGTGAGAGAATTAAAGATTCTATGCAAACAAAGCATGAAAAAAAAGGTGCAAGAAACAGTCTTATCTGAACTGTATATTGTAAAACTATTTTTAGGTCTTTATTGTTTCTGGCCAAAGCTATGAGGAGCGACTGTGGAGGGCCTGTCACTACCTGATCTGGGAAGAGTGTGGCAAAGTGGTTAGGGCACTGTGCTCAGAATCCAGAGGTTCTGAGTTCAAGCCCACAGCCGGCACTCTGGGTCTCTGAGCAAGACCCTTAACCCCACACTGCCCCCGGGCGCTGCACAGTGGCAGCCCACTGCTCCACAAGGGGATGGGTTCAATTCAGAGAGTTACATTTTTTAATAATAATAAAAATAAAATAAAGCTGGATCCGTACCATCAGCTCATTTGCGCATGCGGAACCAGATATACATTCGGGTCGCTTTCGAATTTATTTTGTAAAAAATACCTAAATTACGTTTTTCCCTACCCAAAAATAGTAAGATTAATAAACTATAATGTGTTAAAGGTTAATAATGTATTTCCTGAGAAAATAAATGCATAAAAATCCTGTTTTATCACTCATCTGTGCCCCTTCTGCATCGGAAATGGGATGCTACTTCCAGGAGGTAACTTATATTGTATATATATTTATATTATATATATTTTATATATATGGGATTAGAGATTGCATTAATGATTGAAGACTAAATTTGACTTTTGAAAATCTAATACTAAATTCCTGCACCAGCTGCTAAATGCCATCTCGCCCCGTCTCCTCCAGCCATGCTCAGTGCCATTTATTACTGAGACCTTTATCTATGGTGGTGACATCTTCCCCAGAGTTCATGAACTGCATTAAGCCCACTCCATGCAATTCCATTCTTTCCATCGTCCTTCTCTCCAGACACAAATTAATTTATCTATTTTTTGACTTTTTACACGTCTCACTGTTGAATGGAGCCGTCAACGGCGCAAGGTGACTTTCTGTGTAGAACTACAGCACTGTACCACAATCTATCTGGCGACTTGAGCAAGACACGAGAAGAGGAGGATCAAGCTTTCCTAAGACCCGCCCCCTTCTTCTTCTGATTGGCTAATAATGTTTGTTTCTGAGCGCTCCTTTGCTACTATTGGTTGAGAAACGCAAGATGGATTTTGATTGTCTTTTTTATTTACTTACCATCTATTTATTTTCGAGTGATTTTAAAAAAAATTTTTTACACACAGGCAACTGCTACGAGCCAGAAATCCGGCCTGGGGCCGGCATAATTAAATCCCTGATAATGCGTAATCTAAAGAAAGAATCAACTACAATGTAGATGAACATGGATTAATTATATCTTGCCCGACTAGTCTGAGCATGTCCGATGATGACGTCAGACAAGCGTAGAAATGTAAAAAGCATCAATGGTCTCAGAAATAGTCGTAATACATTTTTTGAAGATGTGTATTAGCATTCTTTAGTGAGTTAAGGATAGAAATAAGTAATTTTAATACCATAATTACATTACTTATGGAAACCTGGATGTATATCTGGTTGCGCATGCGCAAATGAGCTGATTGTACGGATCTTTTTGCTGGACGGATTGGTTATTGACAGGGTCCAAGGAGCCAAAGGTGGTTGTGCAGCAGCAGGTTAGCCAGATAAACGTCTCGGTACTCTAAAGTAAAACATGTATCCACCTGGAAGGCTCCACAAGCCAGAAATCTCAAGAGTTTTTAGCTTCTTCTCCAGTTCTGCCACTCGGTTTCCAAGAATCCTAATTAGAATAAATAAAAGATGGTTACTACCTTCACTGGTCAGAAAAAGAAAAAAAAAAAGCCAGACAGAGCAAACAAGGGGATATAAAGAAGAACAGCAGTTTCAGTACTTGTTGATTTGGCGTTGGTGCTGGACGACCATGTTCTTTTCATGGATGGTTTCCAGCAGGGCTGTGGCCAGAGACTTAAGGTCTGAGATGGATTGAGGAGTCACTGGCAGACTGCAGCCGTTCTCCTCAGAGAGCAGCAGTTCCTTTACTGCAATCCACACCCCACCAGACACAGGTCACAGCAAAGGACGTTTATCGTGAGAAAAACCAAAAAAACAATGAGGTTTAGAAAGAAATCTTTGAAATGTGAGGTTTCTGACCTTGTTTAGCAGAAAGGACTCCAGTTAGAGCGCTGCTGTTGGGTTTGCCGCTCATTTTGCAGTTCTTCCTGCTCTCCAATGCGCTCTGAAATTCACCATCAAGTGTTTCAATGGAATGTAAAACAAGAGCAACAACAAATAAAAATGTACATGAAACCAAAGCTGCCAAGTTTCAAATAATTACAAGAGTGAGACTTTTTTTTTATGTTGATTTATAGCTAAGCACAGATGTCTTCCCTCCATGCCAGCTGCTCTAACTGCACTGTGGCTTCCAGCTAGTCTGAATTAACCAGAAAATAGAAATCAAACAAGAATTTGGACAAAGGTTTGATAACAGTGGAAGTTCCAGGAAATTTTCACAGGGCTGGCCAAGCAGGGATCAATGTGCACTGAGGGGGCACCAAACGGAAACCGAAACCAGTACAGGGTCAACCTATGCTGATCCCAATAAACCTACATATGAACCTACATCTATATTTTCCAATTAAACCACTAGAGAGAGAAGAATTAAATGAGGTCCTTGCTAATAAAGCTTCACACATATTTATAAATTGGTGTCGTTTGTATTGATTAATGCTTCTACATATTATATACATAAAATTTCTTGAGTAGTTGATATTTATTTTTAATAATATAGAAAAACCCTAAATCTAAATAATCTTTAATTGTAGTACATCATAATAAAGATTTCATCGCTGTATTTTTCAATTTTCTTTGGTTAATATACTGATTTAAAAAATGTTAAAGTTTGACATTCTATATTATGTAATTATTAAAAGGGGGACCATGCTCCCCCTGGCCCCCCTTTAAATACGCCCATGTTTGACAATATTTTATTTCAAATAAAAAAAAACAATAACATGGTTTAGATGGGGACATGTCTAATGTTGTATTTGTTACACACTTTGGTGGCTTATTTGAGAGCTGGTTTTGGATCAGTTCAGCGCATGTGTGGTTCTACACAGGGGCCAGCAGGGGCCAGAGCCCCTGTAAAAATGGTCCAGGACCATATTATGGCCCCTGAACTGAAAATAAAACAGAGGAGAGAAAAAAAAGTGTATTTTCCCTTGACTTAAGGAGGTAAGACAATTTGCAGATGATTAATAGGATTTATGCTTAAAATAAGAAAAGAAAAATCTCCAATCTTTTTTTTTTTTTTTTTAGATCTATGTAACTCTGTGTAACTCTAAATCCATTTCTTATGATGATACGTGATAAAGAAGATAATTTTACATTTGTACCTTGGAACAATTTAACATTTTTTTCTAGAAAATTTACTTTACTGTCAGCTTTAAGCTTCAGCCGTAGTAAGAAAGGATCACACTTTATGTCCACTAGTTTAATAAATGTGCAACCATGGCTTCATGGCTCATCTAAAACACTCTTGCCCTAGGTTTCTGTCTTATTCTTTTGTTCTATGCTCCCAGATCCCATCCAGATTGTGAGAGACACTAAGACCTGCCTTACCTCGCTTCTGATTGGTTAATATTGTGTTGTGCCTTCTGCTGTTGGTTAGTTTTAGCCACAAAGGACTGATGGATTGGTCTAGGATTGTTATCTGAGTCAGTCAATCAGAGTTACTTGTACTATGGCAAGCCGTATTGAATGAGGAAATAAGCATTAGAAATGCCAGTTGTTGCATGGTGCGTGAAAATGGGTTTAATTGCATGACTGTCACACTCAAGGCGTGAACCTTGGCAGGCCTGTGAAGTAGTTGTATCTACCTTGTACTTCACTAAGTTAGCTTTAAGGAGGTGAACCTCTTCCTGCAGCTGGCTGAACCGCTCATGCAAGTACCTATAACAAAAGGAAAGCCTTAATAATATGGAGTCAGCTAAAAATATATATTTTAAGATTAACTAATAAAGTGTTAAAAAATTACAAGTTAAGACCTTTTATTTACGAATACCAACCTGTTCTCCATGCAGAGGGCATCTATGTCCAGGAAGCGGCTCTCATCGCTGCCCATGATGTGGTTCATTTCAGTGTTGAGTCGGTGAGCCTTCTGCTGAAACACGTCCCGCTCTGCTCGGACATCCTGGAGCTCATCCGTCAGTGATTTCACGCTGTGCACTAGCACCTCGTTCTGCAAGAATGACAAAAAATATTTATACACATATATATGCATAAAGAACTGTAACAAATGAAAATAGATAGTTGTGTGCTTTAAGTTTTTAGGATATGAAATATCAGATAACATCAAATAACAGTCAGTCTCCACCTGACCCTACATTCTGCAGCCAAAAAGGTATCAGCAAATCACAGCCAATGTGTTTTGTTTGAACTATACCTTGTTGTGTTTCAATAAGTATCACATTTATTTGTTTAATGTCAACTAAAAATAAACATGCAATAGTCTTCGGTCTCCTTCTATGCCTGCTAACCATTTCAGCTTCAGCATCTTCCAACCAATGTTCTCAGCATCTCCACCTGCCTATATGTGTAAACCATCTTAGTCTGCTCTCCTCAGCTTAATCTCAAAAAACCTAACATTACATGATCCTCTGATGTACTTACTTCAGATCCTATCTCTGAAATGAAGCCTTTAAATTTGTCAAAACAAACCAAACTACAGAAAGTCTCAGACTGATAAAATGCTGGTGAAGGTGAAGAGATGAATCTACATCCAGCAGTCAGGCCTCACCTGCTCTCTTGCTTGTTCCAGCTGCTTCACCAGATCTTCTCTCTCATGTGCAGGAAAATGTCGAACACCCACCTCCTCGTCCCCCAGCCTTTGCTTGGTGATCGTCATCCGCAGAAGCTGCAGGAGGATCGAAAAAGATTTCTTAAATAATTTATTTTATACAGAACTTTTTGTATTTCTCCAACCATATCACAGCTGAACACTGACATTTAGTGAACAGCTGCGTGTGGATATGATGGTGATACCTTGTTGTCGCCCTGAGCTTCCAGCAGCCGCTGTTTGAGCTCTTTGACCTCCTCAGAAAGCTGACTGTTCCTTTCTCTGGAGTCTCTTAGCAGCTGAGACAAATTCACCTGAGGGACAAACTGTGTTTAGATGTTTAAAAGTAAAATGCAAAGAAAAGCTGTGGCTGTGTTCCATCAGGAGAGGGCGTGAGTAGGATTGTACTCTGTCATTAATACTGTCTCATCTTGACTTCAAACAGCAGCTTTGGGATGTCAGCACATTGAATGTGAATAACATAACCAGGATGAAATCACTCACTTGGTTTCTTTTGTCAGGTGGCAGACAAATATCTCCGTCCTGTTAGTAGAAAAATCGAAGAACAAAAGGTAAACACAGATATTACCCTGTTTTCCAATAGGAAATCTTTTAAACTGACGCATTCTTCAGCTTACAATGAGTTCTCTGTACTTCTTCTTGAGCGCCTGGTGCCGCTCGCGGAGCTGGTTGGCCATCAGTTTGTACTGATCCCTCTCCTGCTGACAGCTGTCTAACTCCTTGGAGAGTATCAGAAGAGCTTCTTTTTTACTCTCCAGCTTGCGCTTACAAACCACGAACTGCACATATGACACAGAGACAGCAGGAATGTTTGTTATGTTTAGTAACAAGGTGACATCAAATATGAGAGAAGTTCTAAATCCATTCGGTTAACGTGATTAAAAACCCGACCATCGTGCACGCAAGGGGAACGTGTCTCATTGTGTAATCTAGAACAATATGAGCCATGTTTTTTTTATTACTTGATCATACACTGAAAGTATCCAACCAGCACAACTAACTTGACATTAATTTATTGAATTCATCATTTTAAAAGTCTTGCCAGTAATCTAATGGGACATTTAATTATTTAATTGCTCATTTTACAATGTAATTGTATATTTAATATTTGAATCATTTACTTATTTAGACAGCTAAATAAGTAAATATTAAATCTATTTCATTGCACGTTGAGTTATGCAGACAGATAGTTTACTCGCATTCTAAAACGCAGCACAACAAAATTGTTTAAAAAGTGAAAAGTACCTAAAACAGTGGCACCATAGCTACTAAAAATACCTGAAAGTGCAGGTGGTAAAGTACACAACATTACAACGCATACTAGATTAGATTAGATTAGATTAGATGAGCTTTATTGATCTCACAGCGGAGAAATTCACTCATCACATATTGGCATAGTAATTAAAGAAGGTGCAAACAAGGAGGAAAAAGGTGCATTAAGAATAAACAATAAATAAATATATATATATATTTCTTTTTATATATTTATATATATATATATATATACAGTATATCAAGATAAATAAGGATTAAGGTGCAAGTGTACATGTATTGCACACAATGAAAAACAAAATAAAATAAAAAATAAGAAATAAAAAATAAAAAGATAAAAAAATACAAGGTAGTAGCACAGAGGTTTGAGGTGACATATGTACAATCCAGGTGGCTTATATACAGGTGGATTTACTTTAACGTTAAAGTGTAGAAGTTAAGGAACAATGGTGAGGTAGTGGTATGACTATTCTATTCACATATATTTCACAGTCCGCATATTGCACAGAATATTGCACAGTCAATAAATAAAAAAATATAATATAGCTGCACAGTGGTTTTAACAGGAGTTATTGTGGTTATAGCGCATTATTATAGAGTCTGGTGGCAGCAGGAATGAATGACCTGCGGTAGCGCTCCTTTTTACAGACAGGGTGTCTAAGTCTTTGACTAAAGGAGCTGCTCAGCTGCTCTACAGTCTGGTGCAGGGGGTGAGAGGTGTTGTCCATGATGGATGTGAGTTTGGATAGCATCCTCCTCTCAGCCACTTCCTCCACCGAGTCCAGAGGGCAGCCCAGGACAGAAGTGGCCCTCCCTACCAGCTTATTCAGTCTCCCACCTTTTTCACAAAAGGTGGGGGTATGCACCTCTGATGTAGCAAATTTTTACCTTGCATGATTAATCAGCTGTTTCTGCTGTCGCCGTCTTCTTGGACGTTCTTATTATGCACATACAGATGGTCGGAAGCAACATCGCCATTACTAGCTGACATATCAATACGGGAACAACCTTCCCAATAGCAACACAGTATTAAAACTTTCTTCCATTACTGATCTTTGGTCAGTGTTAGATTGCAGGCTCTACTTCTCCTGTTTACTACTGTGATGCGTTATGATGTAATTTGTATGAGGACCTATGACGGCCATACACTACGTGGTGATTGGTTAATTCCCTTCAAACCAAATGGAAACACACAAATCCACATTTCCTTTTTTTTCCTTTCAATTTTTTCTTTTTTTTTTACTTTTAAAAGCTTGCTTAAAATTCTAATTTTGTTGGGATGGAAACACGGCTTGTGAATTTATATTAATTCAACTGAATCTTAGGGTCCCACATCTTAGATTCTATATAAGTTTTCAGGTAAATAGTAATGGTTAATATTAAATTGATACAAGGGACCAGTCAATTTCAGTCCCTTCAGTCAGCTCATATCATAAGAAATTATTTTAGTATCATTTGTTCAGTATAGAGGTCACCACAGGGGCTAGGACCGGTCCTATAGGGGCACTAGCCCCCAGTAGGCCCCCATCTAAAACCGGCCATGTTGCAGCGCAAAAGGGCCAGAAAACATAATAACACAACATCATTTTAGAATTTTATTTATTCATATCACAATTAATACTTCCAATTGTACCTTTTAAAATCAAAGCAACAAAACAACACATTAAAGTTTGAAAAGTAAACTAATATGCTAAGGTTATGGATTGTGAAAATACTTTTTACAGGAAGATAAACCTGACTTCCTTAAACCAGAACAGGTTGACGCTGCAGCAGCTGAGATTTATGCGCATTGTTGACCTGGAGAGCAGTTTCTATCTGTCTGTGGAGCCAGACTTAGTTTAAATAACGATAGCTAACTTCATTTTCGGACCAAACTGGATACATTAGCGGAGATATTAGAACTAGGGTTGTTAGAACTGTAAATATA